TTGGAGAAGATATTCATGTCTTTTGCCCATTTCTTCAGTGGATTATTTGTTTTTTTGGGGGTGTTGAGTTTGATAAGTTCTTTATAGATTTTGGATACTAACCCTTTATCTGATAGGTCACTTGCAAGTATCTTCTCTCATTCCGTCAGTTGCCTTTTAGTTTTGCTGATTGTTTCCTTCGCTGTATAGAAGCTTTTTATTTTGATGAGGTCCCAGTAGTTCCATTTTTGCCCCCGGAGACGTGTAGCATAAGAAGTTGCTGTGACTGAGGTCAAAGAGGTTTTTGCCTGCTTTCTCCTCTTGGATTTTGATGGCTTCCTGTCTTACATTTAGGTCTTTCATCCATCCATTTTAAGTGGTCCAGGTTCATTTTTCTGCATGTCGCTGTCCAGTTTTCCTAGAACCATTTGCTGAAGAGACTGTCTCTATTCCGTTGAGTGTTCTTTCCTGCTTTCTCAAAGATTAGTTGGCCATACTTTTGTGGGTCCATTTCTGAGTTCTCTATTGTGTTCCATTGATCTGAGTGTCTGTTTATGTGCCAATACCATACTGTCTTGATGATTACAGCTTTGTAATACATCTTGAAGTCTGGCACTGTGATACCTCCAGCTTTGGTTTTCTTTTTCAAGATTGCTTTGGCTGTTCGGGGTCTTTTCTGGTTCCATGCAAATTTTTGGATTGTTTGTTCTAGCTCTGTGAAGAATGGTGGTGTTATTTTGTTAGGGATTGCTCAGATATAATTTTTAGATGTTATAGTTGCATGTTTTGTTTAATTTAATTTAATTTAATTTAATTTAATTTAATTTAATTTAATTTAATTTTTAGTAGGCTTCATGTCCAGCATGAAACCCATTGCAGGGTTTGAACTCACAACCCTGAGATCAAGACCTGAGCTGAGATCAAGAGTAAGATACTTAACTAACTGAGCCACTCAGGTGCCCCTGGTTCAGCCTTTTTTAAAAAAGTGTTTTACAGGGGTGCCTTGATGGCTCAGTTGGTTAACATCCTACTCTTGATTTCAACTCAGGTCATGATCCCACGGTCATGAGATCAAGCCCCGAGTTAGGCTCTAGTGGGCATGGAGCCTACTGAAGATTCTCTCTTTCTCTTCCTCTGCTCCTCCTCAACTCGTGTGTGTGTGTGTGTGTGTATGCGTGAGCACGTGCTCTCTCTCTCTCTCTGTCTCTCAAAAAAAAATTTTTTTTTCCAGTTCCTCCCTGGTTGTGGTCATGTTTTCATTCTGGTCACCTCCCAGAGCATATTTTTAATGGAGTTTATTTATAGTAGTTGTTATAGTTTCTGCTAATTCAACCATGTCTGTACAATTTTGGGTCTTCACGTAGTGATTTGTTTCCTACTTATTTTCCTACTTCTTTGCATGCTTCGTAATTAAAAAAAATGTTTTGAGAGAGAGAGAGAGAGAGAGAGATTGAGCCAGGGGAGGGGCAGATAGAGAGGAGAGTATAACAAGCATGATCCATGCTGTCAGCTTGGAGCCCAACACACAGTTCAGTCCCACAAACCACGAGATCATAACCTGAGCCGAAATCAGGAGTCAGATGCTTAACCAACTGAGCCACCCAGGTGCCGCGCATGCTTTGTAATTTTTGATGGATGCTATGCGTTATGAACTTTATGTCTTAGGGTGCTGGATTTTGTCATTTTCTGTTAGGGAGTTTTGGGCTTGTTTTAACAGGGAATTAAATTACTTTGGATCAGTTTGATCATTTCAAGTCTTGCTTTTCTAGTTTGTCATGGCACATGTGGGTCTAGGTCTAATTTAGCCCTTCTAATAGGCATTACTCTTCTGATGACCCTTTTATAGGTCTTGTATATTGATTGAGATCTGTACTCTGGCTGGTGACAACACAAACTGTTCCCTGCCCTTTATGAACTTCCGGAGTTATTTGGCCTACTGTTGTCTAGTAGTTCTTGTTTGCTTTGGGTAGTTTACTCTTATTCACGTTCAAGGAGACCGTTCTGCAAAAATCTGGAACTCTCTCATGTAGCTCCCTCCTCTCTTTGTTTTTTGCCCTACAAATCTTGCTCCTTTGGTTTCTACAAACTGCAGTTAAGATTTTTTTGTCAAATCATTGAGACTGACTGGCTCCACTGGGTTCCGGCTTCCTATGTAGTAGTGTCCAATAATTGCTTCTAGGTAGAATAAAATTGCTCTTTCTGCTCCTGGACCTGGGTCACCAGTGTTATCACTGTATAGGTTAGTTTGTATTTTCTTGAATTCTTTATACATTAAATCATAGAAATACGTTTTGTTTGGCATCTGGATTCTTTCGTGCAGCATGATAATTTTGAGATCATCTATATTGTGTTTATTAGTGGTTCATTCCTTTCTGCTGCTGAATACTGTTCTATTATGTGGTTATACTACATTTTTTAGGTGTCCCACACTAAAGTTAGAGGACTACATCATCACAAGCAAATGTATTTATACTATTTTCATGCTATGTTGAAGGTATTAATTTATTGGTATTGTAAAATTAAAAAGTTAAATTATTTTTATACTCTTCATTGGTTCGTTCATTTTAATTCAGTTTTCCATTGACTAATTTTTTTGAAAGATCTTTTAAAAATTTCTTTACTTCAGGTGTTTTTGTGGTCGTTTGGTCAAGCAACATGCTTGTTTTACTGCAAGTCTTGCCATGAAATACTCAGATGTGAAATTGGGTGACCATTTTAATCAGACATTAGAAGAATGGTCTGTGGAAAAGCATACAGAACAGAGCCCAACAGATGCTTATGGAGTCATAAATTTTCAAGGCGGTTCTCATTCCTATAGAGCTAAGGTATGTCACATACTTGATTTTTTAAAATTTCATTTATCTTGTTATCTAAATAATACACATTTGTTGTCTGAAGATTTATGTAACAGTAAGTCAGGAAATTAGTCTCAGCCATTTTGTTATGTATTTTGAAGTTATTTGTATAGGTGCATATAAATATAGAAGTATCATATCTTTTTGGTGAATTGAACCTTTTATCATTATGAAATGTCTTTTAATCTCATTTTTTTGACAAAGTCTGGTTTTTCTTTTTTTTTTTTTT